CGATCACTACGTACTAAAGCATAGCCCGCCTGTCCTTGAAAATTGTAAAATTTATAGCGGCGCTGACGTCGGTGAGTAGTGACTGCGAAGTTAGCTGTTTATGAGTACAAGTAGATGAAGTTAGTTGAATAATGTACAAATTTTCGTTTCATTTTTAATGAGAAAATTTTCATGCTCCGTAATTTTGTAATTTTTGACAAAAAGAAACATTAAAAAATGGAGAAATATTTTAATTGTGCGTGGATGTGCAAGTGGTTGAGCATCTGATCGGAAAAATAGACTCAAAATGACTTTTATTGACTGAACATAGCGATCGCAGCGCCTCACTGATGGTGTCCATATTTCTGGGACACTATTTTCTACGGCGATCGTTCTCCTGTTCTCTAACCTTCATGGGTGTAAACAATCCAAATTCACAATCCGAGAAAAGCCTAGAATTAATCCATCTAGTTTCGACCTATTACGTGTTTTGTTTTATTTTTATAGATTGATTTGATTTTTTTTTTTGATTTGGTTGATTGATTGCTTATAGATGATTGGGTAGGTACTTTAAAAATTTTGAATAACTCCAGATTTTCAGAGCGACAAGAGAAGCCGGGATCGCTAATGCTAAATAAAAAACACAAATACTATATTAGTGGCGCTAGCGAAGACTTGAGTCCGATTGCGCCCAGCCACCGAAACACTTCGGCTATTCTTAAAATGGGTAAAAAAACCTGATTTTGAGTAGATTAGTAGCAGTTATATTAGTATTATAGTAGTAGCTCAAATGGGTCGACTCGATCGGGGAAGGACCACGCTCTCACAGAATACCAGCATAAAATACTAGATTAATGCTACTGTGTTTCGTATGGTGAGTGTAGAGATCCGGAGACCCTTTTTACTAGAAACGAGGCATTCCATCTTAGTCCTCACGGGTGACAACGCATCTATTTTGATTCGTAATCGAGGATAGATGTAAATGTCTATGGGACACAGTAACCATTTACCATCAGGTGGACTATGTGCTCATTTAAAAACCGACCTGCCCTAACGGACACATCTTCTTCATCATCATCATCATCATCATTACTGCTTATAAAAATCCACCGCTGAACCAAGGCCTCCCCCCATAGATTGTCTCACAGGGGAGATTTTGGAATATTTGCCACGCTTGGACCCGACCCATAAAAGAAAAACATGGCATTCAGTGAGAATTATTTATAATGTGTTTTGAATTCAAAATTATTCCATTCTATTCTATTCATAGCCCGATGTCGCTTGATGTTTTCCTTCACCGTCTCGTCTGATCGCTCCATAGTCATCCCTGAAATGAGAGGCCTATATCCTGCGGTGGATTTATTTTACAAAAAAGTCAATATTTTTCTCTGAGTAGTAGAAAGTGTCGACGCTTTCTTCCTTAACTTATATATACATATACTTATATATATATATATATATATATATATATATATATATATATATAGGCCTATATAGTATATATCTAAAGTAAAATAAAAATTAAAATGATTATAGTACCTATGTATAGGCCTTAACTTTTATAACTTATGGAAGAAAGCGTCTACACTTTCTAGTGCTCAGAGTAAAAAAAACAATAATTTGTGTTTTTTTACGAATATAGACCTTTTTAAATAAGGTTGGCAAACGAGCACACAGTGCAGATGATGGTAAGTGGACGCTGTGGGCCATAGACATCTACATCTATCCTCGATTACGCATCAAAACGCTGATGCGTTGTCACCCATGAGGACTGTGATGAAATAACTCGTTTCCAGTAAAAAGGGTCTCCGCTTCTCTACACTCACCATATAAAACAGTAAAATTAAGCTGCAATTTTACTTTGGTATTCTGTGAGAGCGTGGTCCCACCTCGGTTGAGCCGACACATTCGTGCTACAACCATTAATATAGCTGCAGCGTAGCTACGTAAAAATCTCCGACAAGGTTGCAAACCGAAGACCCTCGTTTAACATTCAATCGCTAGACGTAGGTCGTGTCATTACTATAAATATTCACCAGGACAACATAAATCGAAGGAAGCTTGTATCCACAAACTGATCCGAGTCTCGGTAGTACATCGACTAACATAAACAATTGTATCGTTCAGTCTGTACGTCAAAACGTGCAGACCACGTGTTTGTTACACATTCTCATATCACTGTCTGATCTGTTGGAATTGTTACTGTCTAATATGTTTCAAAACTACTTAATTTTGAGTAAGTATGTAACCTATTTTATTAGCCGCGGTGATTCAGAAATAAGCTTAAAATTTTGTTATACGTTTTAATTGCAATTTAAAGTGCTGATTTACTACGAACTCGGCGGCAAAGTATAACGTGTTAAGGGAAGCTGTGAGAAATTTAAAAAAAAAGTTGAAACCATGTGAAGTCTGCCAACATGCAATGGGGCACTTTATTAATCTAAATCCTTTTCAGAAATTAGAATAGAATAGTAATTTTTTATTCAATATACATTACATGTAATTCTTATTGAGTCATTTTTTACTCTAACCAGCAAGAAACGTGGTAGAGCCACGCTGCAGCTATATTATGGTTGTATCACGAATGGGTTGACTGGACTGGGGCAGGACCACGCTCTCACAGAATACCAGCGTAAAATAGCAGCTTGATACTGCTGTGATTCGTATGGTGAGTGTAGAGAACCGGAGACCCTTTTTACTGGAAACGAGGCGTTCATATAAAAAAAAGATTGTACAAACTACTTATAAGATTTATTTTAGAAACAGCCTGGAAGCAATATTATAATAACCCTTTATATGCAATTTTTGTTTAATAAAATATATAAACTTGATATCTAATAGAGAGACCTCATGTATTTTCTGGCACTTTGTTGTAATATACCTTGCCCCCATTAATAGATTACTGACTGTTTGTTCCTATAGTACGTGAGGTTAATACGGTCATCCGGTTAATATGGTCACTTTCTTATAACTCAAAAACTACAGCCTTGTTTGCATAAATGGTTATATGATACGATAGCTCTTCATCAGTCAATCAAATAATAGAGTCAAAAGGACGCTTCTTTATCGACGCCATTTTGACAGTTGATATAATAAATATTATAGTCGATTCCAGTATGGCGTAATGTAGTTAGTTTTTATTAAGGTCATTTTCGAAGTGTTTCTAATTATTGCCAAAGCTTATTTGCTATTTTTTTTATTAATATATTAACTATAGTATACGATTCTGTGTTTTTGTATCTATCCTCTTCCTTGTTTTGGTTGTATAGGACGGCAAAGCTTAAGGTATATTACCCTCATGTACTTAGAGTTTACAGAGTTGCTTTTAGAGGAGTTGATTTTTTGTAGAGGAAGATCTGTGACGAACAAAGTCTATTTTTACTTCTTCTAGACGCCTCGATAATCTGCAACCGATGATAGTTCAATAAATTAATGACTATGACCTCGTTTTCTCACTAGAGATCAACACAGCTTCGAATCAATACGTGTTGCTTTTTTATGTATTCATAAATACATACCTCCAAGAACATTCCCATGCTTTGAAGTAGGTGAAAGTAAATTAAAAATTCCGTTACATTCATACAGTTCGAACTATAGAGGGTATAAAGATCAAAGTAATAAAAGTGTATAATTTTTCTTTTTTTTTTTTTGTAACATACTCGTACTGTTGAACTTTTGCCAGTGCAGTGTCGAGTAATAAAAAAAATATGATTTATAATAACTTGTTTAAAAACTTCTTCACAATATGTTGATGCATCACGTTTTTGTAAGATTTTGACCGGAGCATGAGCCAGCAGACAGTCGATCACGACGGAAACAAACACATTAACTTGAGGTTCACATCATCGTCGGAGCACTCGTTTCATTAAATACACTAATAGTTTACACACAAAATTGCACCACTTTTAAAAATGACGAAATTTAAAAATGTGTACACAAAATTGCACCACTTTGCGTATCAAAATCCACATCAAACCATTATTTATACAATAAAACAAACTCTACTTTGACGTCTTATGTTACAGCAAAAAGTGACAACGGACTTCCATTTGGCACGATCCTGACACACCTCTCTCTCTCGCCTCCTCTTCATCTATACCTACGCATATATGCTCGTTGGTTAAAGGTATTCTTAATCTGGTCATCTTAATATATAACCAATTTGGTCGATAAACTTTCGTCTAGGGCGCCTCTTTCCGACTTTGCCGTTCACTTCTGTAACATTAATTTTCTAAATTTGAGACATATTATAAGAGTGACATATTATATGTGTACATTTATAAACTTTTTGTCTTTCTCGATATTATGCCAAATCTTAAACTCCTCCGTACGCGGAATATGCTTAAAAAGGATTAAAAAGGTTTATCTGTACGTAGCTCAGATGGTTACGCTCGCTGTAAATATAACAGAACGCGAGTAACCCGGGTTCGATCCCCATCGGCACCAATGAAATTGTTAATCGCAATTTTAAGTGCTGATTTACCACGTGCTCGGCGGTGAAGGAAAACACCGTGAGGAAACCTGCATGTCTGAAGAATAAGAAATAAAAAAAATATTTCGAAGACATGTGAAGTTCGCCAACACACATTGGGGCAGCGCAGCGGACACTTCCCTTGCCCTAAAACCCTCTCAGAAATGAGAGGAGGCCTGTGCCCAGCAGTGGGACGTATATAGGCTGTAACTTTACTTTTCCTATAACTTTTACCTGTATTAACGTAACTACGTAGGGTAAAGATACCAAAGAGTGCGCAGTTTTGACAGATTTATTTTTAAAATAATCAACTTTTGAGTTCAGTCTTCAATTTTACTTATAATTAGGCTTTTGTTCTTTAGGAACACTTTTTTTTACTCTTATTATTAATCAACATCCATTAATATTTAATAATTAATAAAAACAAGGACGTGTCTCACGCGCACTCTTAAGGTACAATGACTTAAAGAGTGCGCATCTATGGCTCTTAGTACAAGTTAAGAGTACGCATGAGGGTAATGGAAGCTTTGTCCATGGTGGAACATCTACTTTAACCAACGCAAACGTCACACTTAAAAACTCCGAATCCTAGATAGTCAGAGCACTCATCGTGCCACCAAACCCCACACTGACTACATTGGACCCAGTCTTCATCGGGAGGTTCTACGTAGACTTCGGCACAAAGGGGGCATCGAACAACTTCTGTACCCGTACTTGTTTCCAGCAGTGTCGGTCTATTTGGTGTCGTAGATTTATTTTTATTTGATGTCTTCTTTGTCTTCTTGGCCTTTTCTTCTTTTTCTTTTTGTTCTGCTTCTATTTGATTTTTATAAGGAGAACTGGTAAGGATTTCTGATTTCTTACGTTTTATGTTTCTTTTTTTCTGAATGTTTGACTTTGGTAATGGTAAGATGTCTTCTGGTCTAAGAAAAGATGATTTGGATGGTGTAGGCTCGTCATTTTCTGGTGTTGTTATTACTTCCTGGTGATTATCAGTTGATTCCAGGGTTTCGGTTCCTCTGAGTTGAGATAATGCTATATCTGGAGCTGAAATATTAATATTGACGGGTATAGGTGACGAGACAACTTGGGTAACAGTTTCTGTAGTTGTAAGTGGCAATTCAACAGCTAGATTTGAACTATTAAGGGCTTCGCCTGTGCTTGAAGTTTCTGCAGTTGGATTGGGACGGTCAGTGACATTTGCAGGAGCAAAATCTTCATCGGAAAAAATCTGATCGTTAAAAGGCCAGATGCCACAAGATTCGAATGATTTCTTAGCTCTATCAATTGAACCAACCTTAAGGTATGCAGTGCCAAATAGTCGAGCAACTTGATATTGAGTTATAGTACGACCTGGATTTGAAACTTGCCAATTGTCACATGCAACTGCATAAGCTTTTTTTAATGGTCCAAAAAATCCTGTATCCAAACTCTGCATGCGATGGCTTGTGTGTGGTGCTAAGCTCAAAAGAACAACTCCATGATCCCTAGCTAATTCAATAGCCTGTAAACTTAAATGAGATGAATGATTATCTAAAATCAAAAGAGCAGGTTCATCTTTAGATGGCTTGACCATCTTAATGAAATGATTGAGCCAGATTATAAATAGATCTGAGTTCATATAACCAGAATCGGATACAAGCTGTAGGGAGTCCTCTGGAGCCCCATCCATCAATTCGGGTTTTTGCCGCTTTCTAGGAAAAATTAATGCAGGTGGTACGAATATTCCAGTAGCACCCATACAGCAAACAGCCGTTACTGTTTGTCCACGTTCTGCGGACACAACTTTCCCTACAATTTTCTTGCCTTTTTTTAGCATAAACTTTAGGTAACTTGTTTGGCACTGTCTGGAGGCCAGTTTCATCCATGTTGAAAATTTGTCTGCCAACAAATTTGAAGGTTGTAAGTACTTGTTTAAAATTATCATAAAATCGTTGCACTTGTACACGATTGAATCCTGCAGCACGTGCCAAACTTGTTTTTTCAGGTTGACGGAGACTGAAGTTATGCCGCCTGGCAAAGTTTTCGACCCATTTCTTGCTAGCTTCCTTTTTATCATTATTAAATCTATGATTAAGACCGTTTTTATTTGCTAAATCATAAGCGACTCTTCCTAGCTCCTTCTTCGTCAGACCATAAAAACATGAATCCAAGCGTCGGCAGTGCTCTGCCAAGTTACTGTCTAATTCAGGAGTAAATACATTTGAAAATCTACCTAAAGAGCAAGGAACAGTGCCTGCTTTTAGTCTTTTTCTAAGAGTCGATTCTGGGACATTCAAAGACTCTGCAACTGATCTTTGACTTTGCCCACGGCGTATTCTTTCCTTTGCATCTTTTAAAATTTCTTCAGTAAATACCAATTTTCTATCTGATTTTCTTTTATAACTTGACATATTTGCGATCTATAAAAAAAGAAAAGATATATAATTAAAAAAGCTACTTTGTTCCCCATGAGTTACTACCTAAGAGTGCGCATGCGCACTCTTTAGGTGCGCACTCTTAAGATTCACGCTAATTCGATTGGCTATGACAGTTACAATCATTCCAACAAGATCGCATTTATAACCTTACTTAATAGCAAAATATAATAACCAAATTTCAAGAATAACTCACATATTCAGGTGGCACCCTTATGCAAATCTTGTAATACGTCTTCGAAATTGTTGATGAATAATATTAAAAGTACTCAAAACCTTTAAATTGCAATAATCAAACTAATAAATAACGCACCAACTTGAAAGCGTGCCTACTGATTCCAAGCGTCACTGCCAACTGACAGTTAGCGCAGTGCTGCCAAGTGTTGAAATTTCGTACCATTTAAAAGCTGTGCGTACTCTTTGGTAGTGCGTACTCTTTGGTGTCTTTACCCTATTAACATACTATAATATAATATACAGGGCTATTTTGCAATAACCGCAAATATGCAGAAAAGGTTCAGAATAATTAATATAGGTAAAAGGTGAACTATTTAAAAAAATCCCAAACGTTCTGTTCCTTTTACCTTATTCAAAATGCGAGGTAATGCATTATTTTAACTAATTTTACTGCGCACGCACACATTCGTAAGGGTCGATCGGCAGACAAAAACGTCGTTGCCCATAAATCACTTTCAATTTGGGATAATTTAAAATAAAATGCCTTATTTTTTCAAAAATTGCAATAACGGTATATAATTATTTATATATTTAAAATGTGGCTACTTTTTGAACAATAACCCTTTATATTACGTTAATTATTTATAACTCTGCTCACCAATAGATTTAAAAAAATTATTTCTACACACACACACATACAACGCACATACACACGATTCCATTTACGTAGGTCACTCAAAAGTTTTGAGATGCTCGAAATTGAAAAATTGAACGCACCCGTGTTATATGTTTCTAAAAAAATAGAACTCCATAATTAAGCCATTTGCTCATTAAAAAAACAATGTTTTATTAATTTTCCTACAACGGTTCCCGCGCTTTTCATTTAAAACGATGGAACTTAATCGTGAATATTTTCGCGCTATGATCTATTATGATTTTAATTTTAAATTTGGTTTAACCGAATAATTAAGTTTACAATCAGCATTAGGGGGGGGACTCACATTAATTTATATGTTACACTAGATAAGTAATTTCCGCGCCAAAGCGTTGTCACTTCACATAAGGCCACAGCCTTATACTCAGCGAACGTCGGTTCAGTGTTCAAGGTGACGCCGTCCGAGTTAAGCCGAACGATTCACAACAAAAAATGGGTAAATGCGTAGTGAAAGAATGCGTTTCAAGGTCACAAAAACATAATAAATCAAGCGGAATCACTTTCCATACGTAAGTTTTAATTTATATATTCATATTAACGTTTAAAACACTAAAAAATTAAATAAAATATCGAATATTGCAATTTAGGTTCAATGTTGCCACTTTTCCGCCTTTGTGATTTTTCCACATTAATGGGAGACTGTATAATTTATGGAATAAGTTAATTTTGTTTTAAAATAAACAAGTAAAATTGATTGCTTAAAAATAAAAACTATGTTTCAACCTTTATACAAAATAATTATTCTTATTTTAGTTTATTCATGAATGGTCTATTAATTATATTTTATTATTTTATATTATATTAATAAATTTGCAGTGTACCTAAAGATGCAGCACGCCGTAAGAAGTGGGTGGAAATAATAAGGTTGTTAAGAAAGGAGACTGACTGGGTGCCTTCTAAATCTACTGTCATTTGTTCTAAGCACTTCCGGAATCAAGACATACTTGAACCAAAAAGCGATTGCGGCCGTGTTCATTTGTCTAACGAAGCAATTCCAATGATTGTAGTAAGTAAATGTTTAATAAGGTAGTTAATTCATATTGTCACAACATAGGTAATATTTGTCAAAAATACCTTTTCTTAAACTCAATATTCACTCATTCAAACACACACACACACACACACGTTGTGCACACGACTAATGCTTTTTCTCATTCCTTGATTTTCGTTTACTGCATGTTAGTTAATTGTTAACCAAATTTTATTGAAAGCACTGGTTTGTACAGGTACTGGTTTCTCACATATACAGTTATTACAACTAGTTTAGAAGCCAGGGTTCCATTTAAATTGTTAAAAGATTTGTGGCAAATAAATAATTTATTTATTTATTTAAAACTTTTATAGCAATGTGTAATGCAAACTAAATGTTTTTATCTTAGTTATCAGGTTAATCATAATGCTATTTTGACTACAATAATTAATGGATATTTTTCAGGACGAACCTCATTTTGAAAAGCCGGTAGAACTTTTAATAGAAGAAAATATGGATTTTGATGTTATGGAAACCGATGAAGAGATAGATGAAATAACTGAAACACCGCGAAAGCACAAAATGAGAAAAATAATTCACCGTTTGAAAATTGTATCCACACGAAGACTAAATAAAATAAAAAATATATCACAGAAAATTAAAAGACTAAAAACAAAAAATAAAAAGTTAAAAGATGTTATCAATGAACTGAAAATAAAACGTATGTTGAGCGAAGAAGAGGAGATGCAGCTAAATTTGAATGGAGAAACCGTGCAATTGATGAAAGAATTTAAAAAATCCTTCGAACAGAAAAAGAACTTTTAATAAATTTCCTTATGTGTTAAAGAAATTTGCATTAACATTAAACTTTTACTCCCGTGCTGCCTATAAATATGTTCGATCTGCATTCAGCAACGCATTACCGCATCCAAGAACAATAGTTAATTGGTATAGCAAAATTAACGGGGATCCTGGATTTACGTCAGAGGCTTTTAATGTTCTTAAGGTCAAAAGTGATAATTCTAAGTCCAAGATCATTTGTAATTTAGTTATCGATGAAATGGCTATCCGTCAACAAAAAAATTTCGATGGAAAGAAGCATGTTGGGTTTGTCGATTATGGATTAGATGACACAAACGATACACAAAATCTAGCATCCTCCGCATTGGTTCTACTTCTCGTATGTTTGAATCAAATATGGAAGATACCTATTGGATATTTTTTTACTTATGGGCTATCTTCAGTCAAACTTGCAAATATAATAAATTTGGCACTGACAAAATGCGCAGAAATTAACGTAGAAGTAGCGTCAGTAACATGTGATGGCAGTCAGACCAATATTGCTGCAATGCGAGTTTTAGGATGTAACCTAAACGACGCAAATAACTTGAAAACTACTTTCAAACATCCTACAACAGGAAACGATGTGGTGCTATTGTTAGACGCTTGTCACATGCTCAAACTAGTGAGAAACAGTTTTCAATCAAAGAAAATATTTTTAAACAAAAATAATGACAAGATAGAATGGAAGTATGTAAAACGTTTACAGGAAATTCAAGAAATTGAAGGGCTTAGAACAGGCAACAAATTAACCAACCGCCATATTAATTTTCGAAATCAAATCATGAAGGTTAAGCTGGCATCACAGCTGCTAAGTAATAGTGTGGCTCAGTCTCTTCATTTGGCTAAGGACTTGTCTTCTGAATTTTCAAAAAGTGAATCCACTGCGGAATTTATTAAAATACACAATGATGTCTTTGATGTATTAAATTCCAAGGGAGACCCCCAAGCTTACGGCTATAAGAAAAGTTTCAAACCCGAAACAAAAAATGATATATACGCATTGATTGAAAAATATAAAGAGTATGTTACGAACCTAAGTGTAGAAGTGACAACAAAAAAAACAATTAAGCGAAAGGGTCAGATACACAAAATAATTATTAAAAAAAATATGAAAAAAGTATTAGATTGTAAATTTAAAACGGGATTTTTGGGTTTTCTAATTTGTCTGGAAAGTTTAAAAGTATTGTATGCAAGGTTAATTGAGACTAACGTAATGAAATATATCGCAACATATAGACTTTCACAAGATCATCTAGAATTATTTTTTGGTTGTATCCGGCAAAAAAGGCGGTTACAATAACAATCCTAATGTTGTGCAGTTTAAATCAGCCTACAAAAAATTATTAAACCATCTTGAATTAAAAAACAGTTTTAGAGGCAACTGTGTGCCCCTTGAAAAAATTAATGTCTTATGTTCTACAACATCTACAATTGATAAGGACCATATAGAAGAAATCAACAAGTCTTCCTTTGATCGTCGCCATGACGACATTGACGAGGAAAAACCACAAACCATAAAGAATAATCAAAATGAAACAGATTTAGAAAAAGAATGGGTCGTGCTACAAACGAATGATAACATTTTTACAAACATAACAAAACAAGTCATTGGATATATTTCCGGCTATATTGTTGACAAAGTTGGTCAAAATCTTAAATGTGAAATATGCATCAAAGCTTTACTAGCTACAGAACTGGAGTGGTTTCATAAGCTAATTAATATAAAAGATAAAGGAGGTTTATGTTATCCATCAAAACATGCGTTTGAAATATGCATGAGTTGTGAAAGCACTATAAGACATGCCATAAAACTTTCCGAAACTAAGTCTTTGTCTACTAAATTTGGTCTTATGACATTAGCTACAAAAACATTAAAAGTGCTTCAAGGAAATATATTATTAAAAGAATTTGCAATACACCCGGGGAATCATTTATCTTCAATACAAGTTGATCATTCCCTTTTATTGATTAATGCCATTATTTATAAGTACTTAAAAATAAGATTGTACCACGAAAGTAAATTATACACTCAAACACACAAAAAAAGAATCCAAAAGGCAATTATATAACAAACTGATGCTTCATAGCGGAGTTTGAGAGCATGGACTATTATGAATATTTAAGCGGATTAGTATTACAGATTAAAACCATTTATATTATCTTACAAATAGACTTCCGCAGAGTCACGCCTGAATCCATTAACTATCCTCAGTATTGTTGCAAAAAAAATATAAAAACTTTTTAAAGTTGTTAAGTAGTTTAGAAATTCTA